AGTTGCTTTTTGGGAGAGATGTTATGTATGGAGTCCTAGTAAACTCAAAACAATAATGCCAAGACACAGTAATCTTTGCTCATAAGTGTTGCTATAACATTCTGGTTTATAGTAACGTTTTCTCTTTGGATATTTAACTACAATGCTGTAGTGATTAATTTTTTTTCAGATACAAATTCTGTGAAACAGGAATTGAAAATACTTTATGGAAATGTAACTAGTAATTTACACGTGGCTTAATAGTTTTTGTATTAGTAATCTGTCTATTTTTGGTTTCCTGGCCTTCAGGCAGAGAAGCAATCAGTATGATTTTCTGAACCGTAGCTATAAGCGTGATCTCTTTAAGAATCTTGCAAAACTCAAAAGTTAGGAAAATCTTGGATTTACTTGCAGTCTGTCAGAAATTGTTGCTTTGCCTTTGTGCAGTGTTTTTGGTACAATGCTATTTCTTGTGACTTGTGCCCTGATTTTGTTTGCTACCACAAGGAGTCTTTTGTTTCAAACAAAACCTTGCGGTTAATTTTCTGCTAGGTCTTTTCATGAAAAAGGAAGGTCACGGCTTATAGCATTTGTATTGTCACTGCGAAGGACTGTACAAACTGTTCCATGGACCAGGATGTTTCTGTGATTAATTTGACGCTCACTACATGCTTTTTAAAGTAATATTTTCCTTTTTACAATTTCAGTACCTCGTGTGTTATTTAGACACTTGTGTAAGATATTAATCACATTTGTGTGGATTAATTACAAAGTTACCGTAATTTATGCATCCGTAATTAACATGAAGTAAAGAGCAAAAATAAAGACATATTGAAATATTTTTAACGTATGTTATTTACAGCTGGTGTTAATGTCAATTTAGAAGTAAAATAGTGTGGTATTTAAGAGAGACTTTAGTTTAATGCATTCTTATCTACAGTTATGAGTAGCAAGTACCAATGCAGAGTTTTACTTACCGCTAACCCACATGGTTCTTTGTATCTTAAATATTTTAAATATGTGGGCATGATACATTCATTTGACATTTTACAATTTGTCCTTTGTTTGCATGCAGCGAGGAGTTATGGGCGAAGACGAGGTAATTCACTTCTGTTTGTTACAGTACAATTAATTCTGATTGAGCTGTTGCTGATCATTACAATTAATTAATCCAGATTGTTGATTACAAACGCTTATCTGCATGTTGTCTTAGTTTGGGGAAGATGGAGGGTGTGAGGGACAGAGGGGTGCAGTCTGGATTGTTACAATCATTGATCTCTTTTTAGAGTCTGAATTACAAATCCTTTAATCAGTTAAAACACTGTAGTTCTAATCATAATTTAGTCCATGCTAATAGCTACTGCTTGCAGTCGTTGTCCCCTTTAAAAGTATACAGTTTGCTAGTTGTTCTTCTAACTCATCTTTTGCTTCTCTAGGAGCGATAGTGTACAGAGTAAAAACTAAAAGCTTTTCCTGAACTTTGCAAGAAATCTAGTACACAACTCTTAGAAATAGTAAACACTTTTGTAGTATAAGCCAATGTATGCTCACTGACCTTGGAAAAGCTGTACTGATTTAACTATATGAGGGTGTGACCTATGGTTGTTATAAAGACCATGCAAAGTGTGCAGCAAAAACATCAAGATCGCAGAATCACAGAATCGTAGGGGTTGGAAGGGACCTCAGGAGATCATCTAGTCCAACCCCCCTGCTAAAGCAGGTTCCCTACAGCAAGATCTTTGATAGCTTCCAGAATTCACAACGTACACAGAAGTTTATGTGTCTTGATCTCTACATTGCTTCAGAACTGATTGCTGGGTAGCCCCTAATGTAGAGAGGAATGATGACCTAGACCATGGTCAATGTTTGTAACAGTGCAATTGTGTTTTGTCAATTCCTGGCAGATTCTGCTTAATTCTTTTCACTGCCATAAAACAAAAGAAACAAGTGTTTATAAGGGCTTATCTTTATAATTCAGAGTCGTTGGGAGAAATGTGAAAGCCTAGCAAATTACCTTTTTGCTTTCTTCATCTGAGAGACATTTAAAAGTGAAGAGGAAGGAGAAGAAAGTGTGAGTTGTCATATAGAGAATGGTACTCTAAATGTATTAATCCGTTGTCCTCTATGTCATCTTAGCTCTCTGAGGAGCTACAGTGCTTTTGGCAAACCTTTACCCACATTAAAGTAAAACTGATCTCTCTGCTATCACTTCAGAACGTGTTCTGATAGTTTAATTTGTACTAGGAAGAGAGCCTTAGATTCTCGTTGGATTTTAACACTGGTCTGTAGATAAAAAATAAATTATTCAGAGGAATATTCTTTGATTATTATATTTGATTATTATTTGATTATCTTGCTCTGTACCTGTGTATATTTTAAGTTGTAATTGTCTAAGTACTTTAGAGAAACACAAAAACATAATTTTCATGGTCCAGAGAGACACCTTCCTTAAGAATAAATTGTGTGAGTTTTTTTTTTTTTTTTACAAACAAAGAAAAAAAACAAACCACACAAATACTTTAGTGGCAATATTCTAATGCTAACAAGTTTATTAAAAATGCCATCTTTTAAAGTCACTGAAGTTTCTTTTTTCCTGCACTACAGAGACTTGCAGAGGTAAAGAGCAATTCTATGTGCTTTTTATAAAGATAACCCAGCTAAATTACAGTCATTTTAGATTTAAGGTGTTAAGAACAACTCTCATATATTAGTGAAAATTCGTAAAATTTCCACTTTTGCCGTTTCCTGCGAGTTCTTCCAATTTGAGTCTTATTTCTTCCTTTAGCCACTTTTTCCTTTCACTGTCACTGTGATAACAGCTCCATCTTCTCCGTCATGCACATCAGTAATTCAGAAATCTGTTGTTACATCCCCCTTTCTCAGTTGTGTAACCAAATCCTACCACTTCTTTGTATACATCTTTAAGATCTGATCATTTTTATTAGTCTTCATAACTGCAACTCTTCCCCACGTTACTCAGCTGCTGCAGTTTTCATAGCATGAGCTTGCTCCTCTTATGTCCAAATAGATGATTTACAAGAAAAATCTGCCTGGCTGCTTCTTCCGACTGTGTTAACTTTCTGTTTCTCCCTTGCTTCCTCACTTTTCTGCCCCGTTGAGCACCAGCTACGTGCTTCCACTTTTAAAGGCACTCTACTGATGTGTTATCTAGCTGTTGAATGCATCCTTATGATAGCAGGCAAGGGTGCTATCACTTGCTCTCCACCAGTCATATTCTCAAACACGCATATCGCTGTTCTTAATGGCAAGGAGCAGCCTGCTACAGCTTTCTGCATTCACTGTACTGCTCTCCATCAGGTGCCTGCTTCAGACATAAATGTGAAATGCCACCGTAAAGATGTTGTAGTTACAGGCTTTGTTACTTAATACAGTCCCCTGGTCCTGCTTTTATTTTGTGATCTTCATAACATTTTATTCTGTTTGGTTGTTTCCTATCATCTTGTGTTTTCATTCGGTATTTTTGATATACGATATTTTTATTATGGGTTTAGATACCAAATGAGGGTCATTAGGCATTACCACAAGATAGGCCATTGATCATGATGTTTGCTGTCTGTGCTCCAGCCTTGTCTTTAAGTACTTGATTCTCAGGTGGTCTTCTGGAATTGAACAGCTTTCAAACTGCTCTCACCTCTAGCTGATCAGCACAATGTCTACAGGTGTTCCTACAGGGCTTTCCTGGTAGTATCCCCCCGAGAGGGGATAAAAGTTACAGGCTGCAGTATGGCTCACAGCTAAGGTAGCACAGCCTCAGCTGTCAGGGACCTGCTGCTCCTGCGTATGGATTAGCAGGGGGTAAATCTGGAAGAAGTTGGCTGTTTGAGATAGAAAATTAACTTGCTTCCCAAAAGTGTGCTAGGTTGTTTTTTTGTTTTGTTTTGTTTGCTTGCTTGTTTCTGGAAAGCAGTTGAATTAATAATTATTTAAAAAAATTAATGAGAGAGAAACAGGAAAAATTGCACTTCAGAAGAAAAGGTGATGTGGGGTATTTATTTTGCTTCACAAAACTGTTTATTTTGGGGCTTTTTGCAGTTAAAAGACTGACTTCTGAATTTGCAACTGTCATTAATCTTGATGTTGCTAATCTACCACAGGGGAAGTTTGAATAAGGTAACATACATATCCTGGCCTTCAGAGTCTTTTTGTTTCAGAGTTCTCTAAAATTCATAAATATGAAATAGGAGGGAAATAAATGAGACAGACTTATCATGTTTTCATTCCCCCCCTGCCATCCATACATTTCTTCTGATCAGTTTGCATTTGCAAAGCCATTCTGTGAACTTCTTGGATTTTACACTTGCTTTTCAGGGTAACTATAATCTTACTACAGATTGCTACAAGTTAGGAACCACTAAGAGGCTTCTGTCTAAAACTGTGGTAAATTTGAGAGCGAGAGTGATAAATCAGCACCGTGACTCATTTTTCAAGTGTTAAATTTTGCACATTTGTTTAAGTTCTCTCTTGGTTTCTTAGAAATTAAATCTGTTCTTATGTTATCAGCATCAGATAACCTTTGAAAGAGGAGAGAAAACATACTTATTAGAAACTTCTTATTGTGTACATGTTTTTTTCTGTTTCCCTCTGTTCAGTTAAAGTCTAAGATTTTTAGACATGCAGTAGTCATTCAGGAGATGGAATTTATCAATTTAACTTGAAACTAAACCAACTGTAGACTAATGAAACTTACTTAAGCAGCCCTTACATGATAAATAAGAACAAATTACTACTTTCCTACTGGATGCAGCAGAGTAAATACAGTATAATGTAGTGTGAAATATTGTGCTTATAGCAATGCCAGCTTGCATTCTTGAATTTCCTTTTTGAAGCTTAATATATTTTTAATTTTCTTAATTTTTCGTTAAACTAATGTGTATTTTTCTAATAATCTTGGCATTTTCAGTTTTACTTTCCAGACAGCTATTCCCCTGTTCACTGAAATTATAAAACAATGCAGTGCCACAAAATTATTTTAATGTATATTATCATCTTTTCTTTTTAAGGCCGTTCTTCCCTCTTCCCAATAGATGATGGTTTGCTGGACGATGGTCATAGTGATCAAGTTGGAGTCTTGAATTCACCTACGTGCTATTCAGCTCATCAGAATGGAGAACGAATTGAGCGTTTTTCTCGGAAAGTGTTTGTTGGAGGTCTTCCACCAGATATTGATGAAGGTGAGCTGCCTGAAAACTAAGCAAACTAAGTTTGGAGGGAGAGAAAAAGAGAGATTTTTTTAAAAAAAAAACCTAAATTAAGTAGTAGAAATAAACCACTCAGCAAAAATAAGGTTGTGGTGTAAAAGGCTACAACTATATATATTTTTAATTGGAGTTGATGGATATGTTGAGCTTAATATCATTTAATGTCATCCATCTCTTATGGTTTTTAAATGGTTCTGTTGTCTCTGATTCTGGATTTGTAGATTGTAGACTTGCATGTGATGTGTGGAATTTTTGCTCCTGCTTACATTGCATATTCCTTTCAAATACATCTTAGCCCTTCATAGTGTCCTCTCTCTGTGCCTGCTTTATTCTCTATTCATAGAAAACTTCTATTAGTAATTGAATTTCAAATTCTATTTTACTATTACCTGAAGATCTCAGAAGTGGTTTAGAAAGGTTAATATTATTCCTGTTCATAAATAGAGAAACTAAGGCAGAGGAAGGTCAAGTGGCAGATCACTCTGTGATTTATTGGACGTAGAAAGTACCACAGAAGCTCAGGTTGTTATGTGATGTAGTTAGAATTGCTTTGTACAATAATGCTGATTTGAAGTAATCGTGCTGTTTAGTACTCAGTTTCTCCTGTGCAGATAGATGTAAATTACTGCTAGCTTTGTAATGTAAACAGAAGTCCCTTTACAAGGTTCACTGTAATCCTAGAGTAACTTGCAAACCAAATAAGCTGACTGTGGTTAATTAACTTTCAGACATGGAAAGACCATACTTTGGTTTTATCTTCATTGTGATCCTCTCCTGCAGTGTACTAAGAGATTTATTTTAATATACTTCAGCTCTTTTTGATGCACTTTAACTTCTGATTCAAATGTGTACTGTTGCCTTTTAATAAAAATGCTAAACAAAGGCACACGGAAATACATTTTCTTTCTTTCCTGCTTGTTTGTATGCTGATGGCAGGATGCAACTGAAAGAAATGGAGCATATTTGTGTCTGATGAGTTACTGCTCTTGTAGAGTTCAGGGTGGCTTAAGTTTTTTTCCTCGTGGCCAAGGTTCTTGGAGTCAGTGACAGGAAGGAGTGGCTGGGATAGAAAGACATCCCAAAGTTTTGAAGCGTAGTAGATCTTGCAACAGGACTACTCATGGTTACGTTAGAAGCACTTCTCAATAGGCAAGTTTAAGTTTCTGTGCCTGATCTGTTCATGGTACCTGCTGGGAACTGCTACCATGCTTATTGTGTTATGTGAATATCTGCCTACAAAGCTCTGAACTGTCCCTCAGTAAACAGTAAATTGTATCAATTGCATTCAAACCAGATTCTGAATTTAAGGAAGTACCACACCAATTTTCACCACTGCTTTTAGTTGCCCATAGGCTTTTGAAATGCTCCTGTTAGGAAGCAATAAAAAACAAAAGTAAGCTTAAAATCATGAGAAATATATTACTAAAATAGTCACTCTTTGGAAGGTGTGTCTATTCAAGTTTTTTCTTCATGAAAGTTGGAAATTTTGTTCCTATTTTTCCATGAAATGTCAGCCTTTGCTAGAAACAAAGATCTTTGCTTGACAGTGCTTATTCATTGAGTTATGTCATTTGTTTTAATTGCAACTATTATACCTGTTTTTTAGATGAAATTACTGCTAGCTTCAGACGATTTGGGCCTTTGGTAGTAGACTGGCCTCACAAAGCAGAAAGCAAGTCCTATTTTCCACCAAAAGGTAAGAATTGGAAGGTTTTTACCTGTCTCACTGAGTGCAGATCTTACTCTGGGAAACTATCTCATGTGTTTCCAAAGGGTATAATTTACAATCCCTGTGAGCATTTAATTCTACAGTTGCAATGCAGGTTTAGACATAGTTCCTTTACATACCAAGTTTAAAACCTGAGAGTTTTGTTTTAGTATTATGCCTGGATCAGTGCTGGACTCCTGAAGGATCTTCCATATTCTAATTTCCCATATATCAGATCAGCATTATATAGTTGTATATGTCATTAATCCTAAGTGCTGTATTTCCATTTCTGTCTGATTTCCAAAACTGAAATTTGGTTAAATTTTTAAGACTAAATCTTAGATAAAAATGTTTGTAGGAAGTTACAGGCAGGATTCAGAACGATGCATTTGAGTATCTGATCAAGATAATGTTACGTTTATTTCCGTTTTAGGATGCAAACTTCCTATTGAAGCATTAATTATCTTTTTTGATAAATCATTAAATGCTGTTTCTTAACTATTTCTAATGTTGCTGTTAGACTAGATGTTTTAATATCACAAAGTGTTGGAAAAGCCATTCTGTACATTCAGTAATTAAATTATGTCACTTATTTCTGTACATGTACAATCATATATTGGTACTTATAAAATAAAGGCAAAAAGCTGATCCAGATATGAAAGCAATGTGGAGATTATTCATTTTGTAGAGAATCCAGCAATTCATTTCTCCCTGGAAGTGAAAAAAGTAGGCATAATGCCTTTATAAACTGATTCTTCATTTATTTATATGATCATCTATGCTGAGGAAAAGACAATAGTATTATCCCAGGTGCTCCTTTAAATACTGGGAAAAGGAATTGAAAGTATTTAAATAATGTTTATGAACACTATATGGAAATTCTAAGACAAACAAAGAGACTTAGGCTTTTTTGATTGTCAGCCTGATACACAAAGCTACTGTCAAGTCAAATTTTATTATCCTAAGGAGTGCATCTCTTCATAAACTACTGAGAGAAATTCTTGAGGAACTCTTTGAGGAAGATGCATCTCACAGAGTCTGTGATGAATATTATAGAAGAGGAAAGATGTAATTTATTCTTACCTGAAAGGAATGGATTCTGGAATTAATTTCCAAGGAGACAGTCCTGTCTCAGCATCTGAGTATCTTAAGGATAAATTTCCAGACTTCTTCATTTAATAAAGCTTTTTTATATAGTTGGAATATTTATAATTACCACAGTATTGTAAGCAGAGCTTCTTAGAAGCAGAGAATACAGATAGAGCTTCAGTCTGTTGATCTAATTAATTCAGGAAACACCTGCAAACTGTTAAGTTGATTTCCTATGATTATCTGATACTTATTTGAAATCTAATAGCACTTAATGTTCTTCAATCTTAAAACTTTATTCTAATTTTCAGTTTACTACATTATTCAGTATTATTTTGTAATGTAGCCCAATGCATTTAAAATACAGTGTAGGTTTCTCTTTGTAGATACTCTGGAAATATAGCTTACTATTAACTGCTGAATGTTACTGTGTTTAGATCTGGGGTTTTTTTCAGTGCAGTAGATATGGCCCATTATTATTTTTTAGAATAATTTCTTAAAAATACTAAGAATTACTTGCATGTGCAGGCAAGAACCATGTATACATATATTGAATAAGACGTCAGAAACTGCTAAAGATAGGCTAAATACTAAGAAAGCTTTGAGAGTGATCAGTAATCAGCAGTTTACGAATATATACTATATTAGCCCAAGGAGTTATTTGTTGTTTTTTTTTTACTTTCACTCTCCAATTTCTAATTTTTTACTCCACATGGAGTCAATTCAGTGTATATATTTTTGTTTGTTCAGCCTCATTGAGATTTGACATATTACTTTGCAAAGACATCTCTGAATTGTCCAGTTCTGGACTGATTTGCGTAATAGTCTTCTCTGTGGTGAAGAGATACAGCCTGCTTTTTTTTTTTTTTTCTTTCTTTTTTTAACTCTTGTTCAGTTTTCCAGGCTGTGATTCCTTCCAGGCTCTCGGCTTACAGAAAGTCCTGAGGGAAGGCCAAGTTCATAATAAGTATTTCCTTGCTCAAAGAAATGCAAAAAGTGTCCTGATCCATCAAGGCTGGCTGCCTCCTGAGAAACACCAACTGCTTATTCTTAACTAATTACATTTTGTGTTGGTTCACTGCAAAATTAGGCTCAAAGAAAACAGAAATTTTTAAAACTTGACACTAATCTTACAAGGAAACTGTTTTGAAGCAGAAAAAAATTATTCTGTTGAGATCAAAGTACAAAGTCTGTAAGTGATCTGCCAACTGTAATGAAGAATTCCTTCCTTTGTGACTTGCCACTGTTTATCATTACTCCTGTTATTACGTAGTTGGCGAATATACTTATTTGTGAAACAACACACATGTCCAAAGCAACTTGCTGAGGTGAGGACTCCTTCTTAGGGCTAATAAAGCTCTCAAACAAATAGTGCTGTGAGAATATGCAAATCCAGAGAAGACCTTTCAAAATATGCCCAGTTGTTTGTGCTCTGTACTATTTATAGTCCGTATCAAACAGAGGATAATCTGATTTAAACGGGACAGTATCCCCAGCCATTTCTAATTGTCTGTGTATTTCTATTGCCTTCTGTCACAGCAGTTGTGCAGTAGCTTCATTTATTCAAGGTTCTTAACTGATAAATTAGAACTGACTGAAAAAAACAGGTTCTATTTCTAGGAAAAACCCCAGGTCTACCCATGTTCAGTTTAACGTTACCAGCTTATTTGATCACACTGAGTAGGATTGAACTCTGGATTCAGGCAAGTAACTGTAGGTGTCTTCATGTGTGATTAGTCTCTAATCTTCCTTTAATCAATGGGAATCTGGCCAATACAGTCAATGGTGTATAGAGGGCTATTCAGGTCACCGTAACATAGGCACATTGAGCTTGATTCATTTACCCAAACCAAGGGTGTCTAAAAGATTTGCACAGGTCTGGCTAATGTGGCGCGGCACCTATTGTGGCCCCACACCATTCTGGAGCACCAGGTGAAGTTTAGGCAAAGTACTATAGAGGATAAATGGTGCTAGACTCTGTGTGGAGTGACCATCCAGACACCACTGACTTCACTAACTGGATTTCTGTCACTGCAGAAATATGAAAATAGGTGTTTGGAACCTGAAGTGAATCCTGCTCCGCCCTACTCAAAGTGCCTCACCTAATAGCTATAGTACAATTGTATCGGCTCGCGTTCTTTCACTTCAGGTGTATTTTGGAGTTAATTCTCCATCAAAGGTGACTAAACTGAATGAGAAAAAGATTCACGTTTTGAAGATTGTATTTCATTAATAAGGTGATGAGATCTCTTTAAAGAGATACAGATTAAATGTTGTGTGTCATTCCCAATTGCGAATTATTCCCATCATGAAATGTAGATCCACCGTCTGTGTTAACCTGCAGTTTCTGCTGGTTCTTTCTGATGGCACAGCATTCCACGGGCAAGCATTGTGCTGCTCTGAGGCCATTTAATCTGCTCTGGGGAGGTCTGTCTGGACAGTAGAGGAACCAACCCCTAAACAAAATACAGCTGTACTGACTGGCATGGACGGTGCCGTGCTGGCTTGCAGTTATTTTCTTGACTCCTTCTCTAAGCCACTAGCGATAGGAGTTAACTGGAATTTGATAGAACTTAAAGCTGCTCTCTGATTTCTACACAGAATATGCATAGCAGAAGTAGTATTCTTTTTCCTTTTGGTAAACTTCGATATTACTATGAAATAAAGAAATTACACCTTGCTCAGAAAATCATGTTAGCTACCAATGTGAATCTAGTCTAGAATACTTTGCTTTTTATTTGTTCTTTACGTAATAAATATAAAAAATGAAAACACTGATTCTGTATATAGGTTGGGGGATTGGGTTGGTTTTGTTGGGTTTTTGTAATTCTTACAAATATTTAATTTGGTAATACAGCTAGGACTCTTCAAACCTACCTGATGGGCTTTCTGTTTCCAGTGCTCATCTAATACATGAAAAAGAAAAAAAATATTTAATTTCTTAGTCATCTTTGGTTAAGAGAGATGTCAACTCACAGTAAGGATTATTATAACCAGTGCAATGTCTTTAGGTATCAGGGAATGTAGTTCTAAAGCCAGTTATCATCTCCAGAATGATTTGTTTATTCTTTGAGGTAATTTTCTGAGGACAGATATTGTCAAAGTCACCCACACTAGTTCCCTTTGAAAATAGGAGTGTTAGTTCCAGTGTTATGCAGAGGAATTTAGTTAAGTGATTAACACTAACAGGGGTTACTTATACTTTGTCTCCCACAGGAGGCATAAATTCTGATAGGGGTGCATGTGAACAAGAAATTTTTGTAAAACTGTGTCTCATCTAATACTTTCCACCTTGTCACATATGTACAAAACATACAAGTTTTGTCTCTGGACAAGTAGTATCTGATTGTGGCCTTCTGCTGTTGGTGTACATGAGACACAAAGGTATGAAGCAGCTTCCTTCGAAGAAAACTAATTATTAGAGTAGCTTTGCTTTTTCATTGTAAACAGACTTGCATTGCTACTGATTGTGAAGCTGTTAAATGACTGATGTGGTACACCAAATCAATAAGAAACTAGGAAGTTAAGTTGTTTTGTAGTACAGTACAACCCCTCCTACTCTTCCCCCTACCTCCCTACTATGATTCACTGTGACATGTACTTTCTATTGTATATGATAATTGTAGTTCAGTACTACCCCGAAAAGACTCGTTAGGCACTTGATCTTTTTCATCATACTTATGCACATGACTTTCCACCACCATACTAGCTTTGCAGACATTAAAGATCCACAATAAATAGTTCATGAGTTACGGATGTTGAGATGAAAAATAATCCAATAAAAGCCTATATTGAGAAAGCAGAAAAGGATAAAAATAATGTTTGTGCTATACAGTTGTTGGCATATGGTAGCTGTAGGAACAAGAAAAATCGTAATTTATGATGTCTAAATGGAATACCTAATGTAAAAGCGTAATTTCCCTTTGCAAGCACTGTCTAGCTAATGAAAATAGGCCGATTGCCTGTGTAACTGGTGTTCTTTGGAGAAGTCTACGATTAATGTATAATTGATTTGTGCTAGGAAATGCACCCTAGTCCAGGGCAAGTGGTGGAGAGTGGTTTATATGCAGGCTGTGCAAGTCTAGCATTCTTGGGAAGGGATTGGCTGTGTCTGTATATGGCCATAAAATGTGAGATCTGAGGAAATAATCTCCTCAGCCAGGTTTCTTCTCCAGCAGAACTGGTTATTTTCCCCCAGAATAGACTTGGAGAGCAAACTAAAATGCCTTGTAAATCACAGAAGGAGTAGAGCTGTGGAGCAAAACTACAGCCAGACCAATTTGTTAGTACAGATTATACCCTAATTTTCTCTGTCTTCACACGGGGAGTAGTACAGCTACACTCATGACACGAGCCTGCCTATGTGATGCTTAAAATTAAGTGAGATTAACCCAGACCTGAGTATAATGTTTTTGGGGTAATGTTGAGAAAGCAGTATTAACGTATAGTTTCTTTACTTTTATTTCGGGTGCAGTAGGATATAGCATTCCTAATTGTTCCCTCGTCAAATTCCTACATTTGAATTTTCTAACTTTTTACAAGCTTCTGCAGTTAAGCATACTAACAGCTGGAGACTTACGAGTGGTAGATCATTTAGAGACACTGACCCTATTTATTTAGTTATATGGCAGTACCCTTGATTGCTTTAGGATAAAAACTGATGGAAAATCAGCATCTGGCAAATTATTTTATGTGCGAGTCTTGCTTTGTATGTCTGATCCCTTAGTGTCATGTACATTGATCCCTCCCTTTGATTAATCAAGTTTTGGCACTCCCATCATTCTTGGGAGTACTGAGCACCCCATTCAAACAGGAATGTGTGTGACTGGTTTCCACATGACACAGGTCTGGTCTCACTTACCCATGCCAGTCTGCACATGCCCTGATTCAGTGAGTGAGTTTTGCATGGGTGGATTTTAAATTCTAAGATAAATACTGAAAGATGTCTCCAGTAAAACAGATTTTGAATCTAAATAATTACTAATTAAGCTTAAGTTAAGCAGGTTGTTACTAAAAAATATTGTTCAGCAATGAAAAATGGACTTCACGAGGAAGTGCTTCAGCCAAAGCCCAGAGATTCCCTATGGCATATTTGTTAAGAATATAAATAACATTTACATTAAAATATAGAATACATGAAACCTTGTCATGTGTCCCTTGTAGGTAGCTGTGATAGGGCCATGTTATGAGGAGTAAGAAATTAGGTTCAAGTTATTAGAAAGACCATTATAGGCCTTACAGTTTTTTCTTTAAATCCTACTTCTGTTCCCATGTATCTAAAATCAGTCATGCATTTGTTTCTCTCATCTTACATTCTTCTTAATACATGGATTCTTTAATGCCCTTTAATGCACCCTACCATCTTTGCCTTGATGACCTACACTGTCTGTTTGCAATAAGAAATTGCCAGTGGTTAACTAGCTTCTCTCAGAAAAACAGTATCATTTCCAAAAGGCTTGCTAAAGCAGCCACACTCCCTCACGCCAAGCCCATTCTAGAGCAGCTGCTTCAGCATTTACTTTTCCATTCAAGTAATAAAATGTAACTTCATGTGAAAATTCCACACTTGGTAGTAATCTCAGAAAGAAATGTCGATTTATGGTCCTTTTAAAGTTTGCTTTAGAATACAACACTAACAGGGCTATCAGGCACCTGTAAAGTAACAGATTTTGTGTATATCATGTTGTAACTGTTAAAGCTAACATGTGAGGTTCATTGCTTGTCTGACTGTTTTGTAGCATTAAATAAGCATTTTAATTCCTATTTTTGTAGTGTTTGGGAGGTTTGCTGGGTCACTTATGTAACCAAGTACTTTGATCTAATCTCTAGAATACAGATTAGTCTTTTGTGCCAGGTCGGATTTTCATTGTATAATGTCTGCTGCTGCCAATGAATGCTCAGCCTAGACTTCCAGTACACGATAGAGCAGACATGTTTGCTTTTATTTGGTTATTAGTCTCTTTTGACAATTATTTTAAGGATAGAAGTATTTGCCTGGAGTTCTGTTGATCACGGCGAGGTAGTCCATAGTTAAAAAGGTGACTAATAACAAACAATTTGTTTTACTTTCTTTTACTTTTAGGGTAGACACATTTGCGTGGAAAAGCCACTGGCAAAGACGATTAAGAAACATAAAAGAAAAAATATCATTTGTTTTGTTTTGTTTTTTTTTCCCAGGTTATGCATTCCTCCTGTTCCAAGAAGAGAGTTCTGTTCAAGCCTTGATTGATGCCTGCATTGAAGAAGATGGAAAGCTCTACCTATGTGTTTCCAGTCCTACTATCAAGGACAAGCCAGTAAGTAAACAGTAGATGGCCTGCAGGCTGTAGCTGCCATCTGTCCAAAGCTGCATTTGAAATGATGACGGAGAAAATAATCAGAAGCAAATTACCATTGGCAGAGCTCAACATCTGGAACAGTTGGATGATTTTAAAACTGTAGTGTTTTGAATTAATAGGATTAAAACAGAGCACCTGAACGTGCTAAGCTAACCAGGTTATGACTGTTTGACAGTTAAGAGAGGCTGATGAACATATATCCATAATGTAGCGAAACTTAAAGTAGCATACTATTCTCTTTCCCAATTTAATAGGTTCAGATCCGTCCCTGGAATCTAAGTGATAGTGACTTTGTGATGGATGGTTCCCAGCCGCTTGATCCTCGAAAAACGATTTTTGTTGGAGGAGTCCCTAGACCATTAAGAGCTGGTGAGTATAATCTCTGGCTATTTTTAAATGTAGGAGATTATTTGAAATAATTATCAATATTTTGATTCTATGATTCTAATTTGAGCCATGCATACTTTTGTATAGTTATATATGGATAGGTACAGATATATACATATAAAAATAGAAGACTCTTGTGATAGTTATAACCACAGTACAATATTCATGTATTCTTAAATTTCTCTAGTAACTGTTTTCATCTGGCTTTGGCCATAAATCACTGTTCATTATTGAGATTTAATGGCAACTGTTACGTGTCTACAGCTGTAGAGAAGATTTTGATCATATTCACAAAATTGTAATGTAAACTATGTCACAAAAGAGTTTGTTTTTAAAATAATGCTACGAAAACCTCTCTGCCATCCTCCATGAGTATGTAGATATCTATTTGTACCCTTCTACTACTATTAGGTTGCAGTTACTCTTACTCATATGGACAAAGCAAAAGCTGAGGTGATTGATGAAGGAGTAGGAATAGAGGAAGAAGGGAAGAAATTGAGAGAGCTAGTACAGCCTGTATGGCACAACACTGTATGAGATGGCAGGACTCTTTCTAGACTCTTGTCAGAGTGCATGAAAGAAAAATTAAATGTTTCTATAGCTGAGGAATGGTTGATCTACAACCTGGACAGTCTGATTGTTTTATGGTGGCCTTCTAGTAGGTGGGTTGAAGTGAATATTGGAAGTAGAAGCATAACATGTAGGAGAACCAAGAGCCGATAGTGCAAATTTCGAGTATAAAGAATCTTAAATTTTTCTAACTTGGACCTGCAATGCTCAAGCTTTTCTGTTATTTTACTTTTAAGACTGTACTTTTGACTGTAGTACAAGCTCTGTAAATGAGCATAAACACAGTATGTTCAAACTGCAGATTAATTTTTCTTTAAATTCAGTCCAGGTACTCCAGATTACTGTGCTGATTGTGATAAATCTAGTGGATGCATTCTTGTCCTTAGCTTTTGAATGCCCTGTATATTTGAAAGTGAAACTTTTATGGCATTGTGAAATAAGAATCATACCTTCACAAAAGCAGTAAAACTTTAGGAGACTTTACAAACGACTGTTGAACAGCAATGACTGCTGACAGCTTTATACCCCAATACATTAGTATTTTCCACCTAAATGAATAGCAAAACTGAATTCAGTATAAAATATTAGTAGAGGCTTTCTAAAATACTTGATCTGTAAAATCTGAGATTTTTGTTTCTGTGGACTTCAGTATCTATGGTAAGTGTAGCACTGTAGAGATAATCAAGCTCTGTGTGGCTAGCTGCATCTTTAAATTCAAGTAGGACATAGAGCATTAGGACAGCCAGAGAACATGTACCAAGGAATTTGTGGCACGTGGATTTATTTTATACAGCTTACATTCCATGCCTGCCCAAAAAGTCTTTTGCTGTAATCCTCTGAAGAAAACTGCCCTGGAATTTCAGTTCCAGGTTATCAAGGACTGCAAGGACTTACAGTTCCATTGTTCCTTGGATGTATGTACCCACACTGTGAAAGATCTCTTTACTGAGTATTTCATAGCTTATTTAATATGTTTTTATAATTTTTGTTATGACTGGTACATTGGCTGTTGCAAAATTAATTATTAAAATTAACTTTTCTATTATTTTTAAATACAAGCATAAAGTTTGTACTGTAAGAACAGTTTAAATTTACATTTTTTTACTTCTTAATAGTGGAATTGGCTATGATCATGGACCGTCTCTACGGTGGAGTTTGTTATGCAGGAATTGATACTGACCCTGAGCTGAAATACCCAAAAGGTGCTGGACGTGTTGCTTTTTCCAATCAGCAGAGTTATATCGCTGCCATCAGTGCTCGGTTTGTTCAACTTCAGCATGGCGATATTGATAAACGAGTAAGTTACACAGAAATTTAAAAAAATAATGAATAGGAGAGTGATGACCTATAAAGGAATTTCTCAGGGAGTGGTAACATTGCATCTGATTGGCTTTCATGCCAGCTTCTGTGTTCTTTTAGTATTCCTGTAACTCCACTAGTTCTAAGAGTTAAGCTGTGAATGCCCCCGAATGAACAGCATGCATTCCAAAAAGCAGCAGTTTGTTCCTTGGACATATGTTAGACCATATGTTCTTCCCATTCTGAAGTTCCTGATTTTGTTGTGTGTGGGTAAAGGGCTTGATCATCTTTTTCTCTCCCTTGTTCTAATGAAACCAAATCCTGTGATAATTCCTCTGTCATTCACAGGAAACTTTAGTATTCATTGGTTTCAGATTAGCTCTATATTTGCAGCCGCCCCTGATTTCAGCCATAATTGTCAGTGCTTAGCACTTCAGAAAATCAATCAAGCTCAACACATAACATACAAAATTTCTATTCCTTTCTGTTTGTGAATCTTCAGAGTATTAACCAATGTACATTTCTGATTGCCACAGGTGCTTATTGCTAGTTATAGAAACATGAGCTTTTGTTAAGAAGACCAGTTGACTTCATTACTCCTAATTAGAACTATGAGAGTGACAAAGAAAACTGGCCTATAAATTATGTCAGCTTTAAGTGTCACTAGTGTTGATGTCAAGAGCTGCAGTAGTCGTCACTGGTATTAATAGATGTTCCTTTAAAAAAAAATAATAAAAAAGGTCTTAGAGGAAGAAGGATTGAGTAAGTAAAGTAGTTCAAGGTCCAGTCTCCTCTACAGATCAAAAGACATGGGAAAAAGAAAGTAGTACAGTTAACAAAAGTCTGCTGTAGGGAGGTAGCATGCGCTGCTTTCCTTTCAAATAGACAGAGTAATACATCTGTCTCTCAGATACCAGTTGCCTAGAGAACTGAAATCCCCAAACATGGTCCTTTCCAGAGGATGAGCGAGTCTGAATGTGGGTAGTGAACTAGACTTCACATTAAAGTGTGACAGCTACACTTTGCTGGTGGGATTGCTGTCCTTGTGGCTTGTGGCTGACTTTGGCTAATAGCTTTTTAATTACATAACAGGAAAAATGTCCTTGACACTGTGACTGTTCAACTGTCACACTGTGACTGTGTGAGGGGAAATAAAACTGTTAATCGTCTTGCATTTCAGTATTCAGAAAAAATGGGAGTAAGGACCAGAATCCAGAGCTCCTTCTAAAGAAATGCTAAATGGATCATTTAGCTTCAGAATGGGGTAGCTTAGTGTGTTTCAGGAACCATCTATAGTGCATTGGGCTGTAAAGTGAACTAACTTTAAAATTTGAGGTGGATGGTTGGGTCCCATCCAAACTAGTTCTCTCTCAGAGGTGGGAGACAGACTTGAATGCTGTAAACTAGGAGATTTAAAGAAGGAAGTTCTAGGCTTTCTCTTTAAATATCTGAATTTTCACAGTTTCTTCTTTGATTGTTATAATTTGTGTTCTTTCTTTAGTATTGTTTTTCTGATTCTTGAAAGATATTTTTTTGACTCAACTCTTCTCTTAAATCTGGAATTTTGGCCATTTTTGTTAGCATCTTTGGGTTTTTCTTATTTTCAAAAATGTGTACTACTCCTGAGATGTTTCACTTGCAAAATAAAGCAATGCCAAATCTAAATATTTTAATAAATTTGTCTTTAAACCTTGTGATGGAGAGGGTTTATGAACTTCTATGTTTATTATAGAGGATTTTTAATTTTTTTTTTAAATCATCTTCTCTGATTAAATAATATGGTCAATCCTCATTATTTATAGAATAATTATTCAACCTAGTTATTTGCGTTAATGAGGAGTAATAGAGAACAACCTTTTTTTAGAGAACACTTAGCTGTTTCTGAAAGTATGAAAAAAGGTATTTTCAGAAATAGTGTTTTGCTCTATGGAGTTTATACCCTAATGCCTTTTAAGGATCTGAAAATCTTCTGAAATCTGTACTACTGCTGATTTATAGATGAGCAAGCAATTTGTATGAATCTGTAAATGACTGTTTTTGTAAATGAGGAAGACAGTCTTACTTCAGGTACTGCCTTCATCTGAGGTGTGTCTGCATTCTGGCCAGTAAAGTCATGTATTACATATTTCACTGAACTCTTAGAGGCAGGCTATTCTCCTACCCTTTGCCTTAGCATAGTCTTTCTATACCAGTTATATCCAGTTTCTGTAGGTCTGCTGCCCTTTTACATTCTTTTCATAACCAGTTTTGTCTGCCTAAAAGTCTTTTTTTATCGCTAAATTTTGCAGTTCACCTGTTTATTCTTCTGAACTTTAGTTCAAAGTATTTACAGCAATTTTTCTGCACATTCCTTTTCCTACCTTAATTGGAAATCTTAGTGTCACAGTCACTTAACAAACATTGTCTGTGATCTTAACTTCTTCCTCACCTAAGTACTCTGCAGCTTCTTTCCAGTTCTTTTGATGTGTAGATATGTTTAGTTTCTCTAACAGATGTTTTTCTTCAGTGAAGTGCTCCTCATCCTGTTTTATCATATATGAAAGCTTAGCTGTAAACATTTCCTTGAAACTCGCTTGGAGTTTCAGTTCCAAACAACTCCTTAAAATGTTGCTAGCTTTCACACGCCAGCAGTCTGCATCCACTTCATGTAATACTTCCATTCCCCAAAGTGTTTCTCTAATACAGTTGAAATCATCTTCATACCGATCTTGGTGCATTAAAGCATCGAAGCTTGAAATACATGCTGCTTCATGCTTCCTGTAATCTTGAACTACAAACCCAGTTACTGCATAAGGTGGCTGTTTATGGGAAAGTTTGAGTGTAACTTGTGATAAGGCAGCTCGTTGCAGTGAAATAAGAAGTACAGCTTGTACTGAATATAGATTACTGGAAGAAGCATATTTTAAACATAGATGTATTTGACATGTCCAGTATGACCTCTTCTTCTGAAGCTAAGAAAATGAAGACTGTTCTGCTCTAAAACTTCTGGGTGGATAGCTGTACATGTAATTTCTTTTCCTCTGGAGACACAACAGAAAAAAGTCGCATTTTAAAGTTCTTATTATTTCAAACATCCTCTGTCTGAGTATAGTACATAAAGTCAATGTCTATATATAGCATTTTCCCCAGGTAATAGTATCTCAGAAAAACACCTCTTACAGCAGTGAGTTTTAGTATAGACTGGAATAACACCTTTTGACAACAAAAGGCAGAAAATACCGTCTTTAAAAGTGACCAAAATGTGGAAGACAACAATACATTCCTTAACGATGGAGTCGGCTCATTTTGTGTTTTATTATGAAGTTCTTCTTCCTGTCTGATCACAGTCTGTAACAGTTCAGGTACGCAAAGACATAATGCAAATTTACCACTGGACTCCTGCCACTTTTCCATTCTGGCAGTCAGATAAGTTTGGGAGAAAGAAGCTGTGTAAGACAGGTGTTTCTAGCAGTCTGTAGACTTGCAAAATGGTCTTTAAAAAATATTTTCAGAAAAACATTGGATACAAATTTCTGTACAGCTCAAAGCCACAAAAAAAAGGAAAGTAATAGATGACCAAAATCTGTAGCTCCGAAGTTGACCCTATTTTAGAAATAGGGAGTGAATGTACAGGGAACAGAGGTGCTAAGAGATCCTGCTGTTGCAGCCTGCAGAAAGTACTTCTAATTTGCACACAGAAGTATTACATGCTGAGACTTATGCTTGTGTTTTAGAAAAGGTTAACATATAAATGGTTCCATTTTTATATATTCAGTTATTTTTTGCTAAACAGTATAGAATTGGATGTCATGTTGGGGTACATTTGGGAACTGATGAGATTGGTTGGGAGACCTTTGGACTTGTTCACTTGTTTTCTGCACGTACGTCCATATTACTGTTTGCCAAGAACTTCCTTCCATAATCAGGGGAGGTTCTGATTCTTACATGTATAGTGTACTTCTAGAGATCTGCCTGGAAGTGTTCTGCGTACTGTATGGATAGATCTGTAGCTGATAAAAGGTAAACAGTAATAACTGATTAGGTAGATAAAGGCATTAATGTGTCTGATTTCAGACTCCTGTTTTGTTGTTTTGGTTTTTTAACCAGAAAAACCTGAATGCCCTCCTACAACTTTAAGTAGGAATAGGTATTAACTCGAAATATTTCTGTTTTACTCCAACAGGTGGAGGTAAAGCCATATGTGTTGGATGACCAGATGTGTGATGAATGCCAGGGTGCACGATGCGGTGGAAAGTTTGCTCCTTTCTTCTGTGCCAATGTCACTTGCCTGCAGTATTACTGTGAGTTTTGTTGGGCAAATATCCACTCTCGTGCAGGACGTGAATTCCATAAGCCATTGGTAAAGGAGGGGGCTGACCGCCCACGTCAGATCCACTTCCGCTGGAATTAAACATGGTGAACCAGCATCTACATAAGGAAAGAAGGGTGCATGTGGCTTACTGTGTTTGAAGATACTGACATGCAGAAGAAATAAGTGCATTCTTCTGCTTTTCACCCCAGCTATCAATACATGCATCTTTATCAGCAGCCAAAACACTACAAGCCTCTTGTTTTTCACCAAAACCCTACATCTCAGGCTTACTAATTTTTGTGATATTTTCATGTTAAAATAAAATGTTTTTTTGTATTTTCTCCAAGTTATTTTTATATGTAAAGTTAAAACTAGATATGAGAATGTTTTTGCGTAGGGGCACACAGTCTGCTGCTATATTTAGTGGGTGAAGCGTGCACTTATTTCTAAACATGGGTTTTTAACTTCAAGATCTGCCCCAGTAATTTACCAAAGGTAGCAAAATAGTGAAGATGGAATATGTCTGCTACAAAAAGCTTATTTTTATTGTTGTTGCTATTTTCAGTGTATACATAAACTAAAAATTAGGGTTGATTTTTTGCTCTCCATTTTGACTTGCAAGAAATAATACCTCAAGATAATCTGATTTATTAGCTATTTTTAAACATTTTTAATCACAAGCTGTATTAGCTTTGCTGCTATATAGGTGTTATGTGTAATGCCACCTATTAATACGGGATTGAAACGTTTAAGACACACTGCATTACAGATTAAATGCAGGCAGCACAATATGGCCTAAACTGCCATAGTTTTAGAATGTGAAAAAAATTGCATGTTTACTTACCTGTATACACCATATGCATGCACTAGAACTATTAATTAACAAGAGGTGAGTTATTGCAGATGTTCAAAAAAAGGCTCTCTTGAAACTAGGTAGCATGAGCAAAATTTACAAAATTTGTTACAAAAAACAAACTTGCATGCATTATTGTGACTGAAGTAAAAAAATGTCCTACATGTGTACAATATGCAAATTAGTTTTAGACTAGAAAGTGCAGCCATTTTGTGACCTGGTCAGTAGTGGAATTCAATTTTATGCAGACTGGATGTAATATTGTAATCCCTGTGCAATTTTGTGATGTGTGCTTCTACTTAATGTGGCGTGATGTAGTATAGATACAAGTTTGAGTAAAAAGCTAGCGTTTAAAAAATTCTTTTAAGCCCCCTTGATTGTTCATGGTTAAGATTTCCTCTACAAACCAAAGATGGCCAGCACACTGCTAACCAGTCACCAAATGTGAAACCCATGACAAATGCAAACAAAAATAGACTTACATAAGAACGCGCAATGCTTTAGAAATTAAATCTAAGTAAAGTCAAAATGGAGAAGGTGTAATATACAGACGGCTAGTTGCATAACAAACTAAATTCTACCTTTAAGACAACAGTGAAATTTGGCTTAAAAAAAATCTTGCTTACATGTTTGACCTGTGTGCGTTGTGGTCTTCTGTCAAACTGGGGTCACTGTTGCATGAAAAGTAGCTACTTGACAGTCAAGGATAGTATTTTTATTTTAATGAAGGAGTTCTAGTAATGACATCGCTTGCAGTTTTGAAAAAC